GCGTACAAGAGGGAGAGAGAGAGAGAGAGACATGCAGATGCATGAGTGCGTGTGTGCGTGTGTGCGTGTGTGCGTGTGTGCGTGTGTGCGTGTGTGCGTGTGTGCGTGTGTGCGTGTGTGCGTGTGCGCGTGCGCGTGCACGTGCGCGTGTGCGTGTGCGTGTGCGTGTGCGTGTGCGTGTGCGTGTGCGTGTGCGTGTGCGTGTGTGTGTGTGTGTGTATGTAGAGGTAGTGTGTACGCATACGGTATATAGTATACATGCATAGATTGGCATAGATACTGTGCGTTCGGGGGGTAGATTTGAATGAGCCGGTCCAATAGGGCCATGGTTGCCCGATTCGTGCTGGAAACCGGGACGGACGAGCGCCAGGGTGAGCACCCCAGACCTGCAGGCAGTTGCAGGCGACTCGACGAAAGACTGGAAAGCTTGCCAACACCGACAACATACCTTTCGGCTTACCAGCTGTCAAGCTCATGGTCTTCAAGCTCATGGTCTTCAGATCCAAGCTAGACGGCAGTGCTTCAAGTCCTTCTCGGGCGAGATGCTCGAGGTCGACGACTCGGACCGCGCTGGTGGAGTCGCCAACAAAACTTAGCGCCAAAGTGCTTCAAACAGGTTGCAAATGAAACAGCCACTGCGATGCAACACAGTTTGATGGGCGAATTTCCACCAGGCAGCGTGGAAGAATCACAAAATGTTGACATTGGCATCATTGTTGACTGTCCGTGTCTCCGGTTTTCGCTCAGAAACTCTGAAGATGCTGGGCAATTTCAGAATTATACTCGACCTAGATAAAACTTCTTGCTATGCTCGTTCGCCCGAGCACTTAGTGCCGCTATGTGTGATGCCTGATGCTCCAGGACTGCTGCAGCAGACCCTTTCGGAGCTGTGCGCTGAGAAGTTGTTGGTAGCCGGTTGGCTCTAGGTCGTCAAACGCAGGTGCTTGCGACAGTCGGCCTGTCATCTGGACCAAACGATGCGGCAGGGGCACAGCCGCTGAGCTATAGGATCCAGTGCCAGGCCGTCGGGGCGGCGGAGCAGCGCCTAGGACTTTCAGAGGCTCTCAGGCCTAAGCCCAAACGGCCACGAATTCGGCTTCGGTCAGTTCTGGGTTTCCAGTGCTGAGCAGGTGGCTTGCAGGGCAGGCCGCTTATAGGGCGTGTCCCCGAAGTCCCCCGGCATTCCTGCACAACGTCTCTGAGAGTCTACTTCACACAGCTTGCTCCAGCACCAACCCTCTTTTTGTTGAGAGATGGTCGTCGAAACAACACAAAAAAAGCGCAAATGTGCACACGTGTGTCAGTTCAGCACACGGGCTGCCCGGTGACGATGCCTGGAATGCCAACCACCACTTCCGCCACAGCAGAGGCATTCAACAGGTCCACCATGTAGACCGCGTGGTCCTCAACATCCTGGGCTGGTCCGTTGGTGTCCACCCACAGCCACCCCACGAGGCTTCTCGGACCAAGGCGCCGAAAAATAGAGGATCTGCCGCACCTCGGGTGTACGTCGAAACTCTTTCCATAAGCGTCCGTGCCTTACATAGCTTGAGCTTACATACAGGTTTCGCCGACAAACTTTGAGACAGAGGGGTGAAAGAATGAGAAACAGAGGGCAAGCCACGATAAGTGGTGCCAGTGCCGGATCAAAGGATCAAGAATAGTGATAGGAAGAAGAATAAGAATAAGAATAAGAACATCAACGTCAATCGCAGCAGTCCTGTCTGAGAGGAGACTGTTGTGTGGAAGAATTTGTTGTGTCAATCCCTTCGCTTCTGTAATGATGATGATAATGGAACGATACTGAATGACAAAGGTATGTGTATGTTAATGATCGTGATACCGATGTTGATGATGAGGTAAGCAATAGCAATAGCAGTAGCAATGGCCATGGCAATAGCTTTAGCAGTAGCAATAGTATGAACTCACAAGAATACTGACAATAAAAACACTAATCAACTATAGTAAGAATAGCAATAGTCACAGGATCTTTCCGATAGTGACAAGGACAGCCATGAGGGGTAAATATGATAATGACGGCCAGGATAATGATGATAACAAGAAGAGAGTGAACATCATATTCAACACGAGTACTCTAACTAATCACAACTCTTACCATGATCATCATTAGCAGCAGCAGCAGTAGTTGTAAGTGTGTGTATAATATATACAAATACACCTATTTATATAGATAATCGTGTCACCAGAAACGAAGACACAGTCGCCTCACACTCGTCCGGATCACGACGTGGAGTCTTGAAAGAGAATCAAGGTGCTAAGATTTGCGACAACAGCTCCCAAAATGCAGAATACAAGATGATAGGCGATGGCCATAACCAACAATGACCAACACACACAGACACACACACACACACACACACCACAGGAATCCGGAATACCCTTGTAATCCCCTCTAGATTTCCTCCCGGCCTCGTCCAGTGCGAGGCCCTGTGGCCGCAGAGACCGCGCTCCTGGCACGGCGGTCAGCATGCCAGACCTCAACCGTGCCGGATTCCAAACCGAACAGAGGACAGATGTGCTTGAGATCTGATCGAGACCGGGAGGCCAAGTGTCAAGGACTCGCACGCGGCCGTTCCCAGAATCTGCTATGTACCTCGTCAGCACAAAAATCAAACGAGAAGGCCCAGAAGCAAGGGTGCCCATAGTTTCGAGGTTCTAGTTTCGGATCGACTGCCGATGAGTTTCGGATCACGGGGGTGAGTTTCGGGGCCCAGTTTCGGGGCGGGGGAGGGTCAGTGTCGGGGCGCGACGTGGTGAGTTTCGGGCCGTGGGGTCAGCTCCGGGGCGCGGGGGGAGGGTGGGCTTCGGGATGTTGCCAGGTGACTACTACAATACCACTAGAGTAATTCATACTAAGAGTACTGCCAACTAGTTCTGCGAGTACTTTTGGTACCACAGTGCTACTTGTACCAGTACGACCAGTACGAGTAGTAGTTGCCACGAGTACTACTGCTGCTTGTACTACTAGTAACTAGTGGTTGCTACGTGTACTACAAACTGGCCGCTCCCTGATCCGAAACTGGACTCCTCTGGATCCGAACTGACCTGGCCTCTGCCCCGAAACTCCGCCCCGAAACTCCGCCCCGAAACTCAACACCGAAACTAACCTCGAAAACCCTGAAACTCGCAACTTCCCCAGAAGCAACACGACGAGACCGCCCGAAGCGAGAGAGGGCGCAAAAGGTTGGAGCCGTGGGCCAAACCTGCCGGCGAGTCCAGCCGCGCGCTAGTCGCCAAGCCCTGGTCGCCTGCCTGGGCTGCAATACCCGACACAGCCCGACACATCAAAGGCGTTAAAGACATCAGAGCATCGGAGAATAAGGCAAGGCAAGCTGCGTCGCCACGCGATCCTGGCATCCCGGCAACGGTCGTGATGATCCTAAGCCGACGGACATAAACTGGGATTCCTTGATGCCTTCTCACAACAAATAACTTTCGGCAACACCAAGGAGCCCCGAGATCAAGTCCACCACTCGCACCGCGTGGTTGCCTGTGCGGCAAACTGACCCCCAGTGAAGCTCAGGCCGAGCTCTTTCAGGTTTGAAGGGCCTTGGTCGGAGATAAAGAGGTGGGTTTGGCCTATAGCCAAGCCAGCCGGCTCGCGGAGTGTCGCCGCTAGCGCAGGGCCTCTGCAGGAACCAAGGGCCACGGAGGGCGGGCCACCCACAGAATTCCAAAATGGCCTCCGTCACCACCGCGGCCCGAAACACCGAGCTGGCCAGCGACGGTGGAGATGTGGTTGCCTGCCAGAGGAAAGATCTTTTGAACGGCTCGCGTCGCTTCCCTCGAGCTCCGTACCTTCCAAAAGGGACACTGTACGGACAGCGTGGTTGGCAGCATCGGAAACGAAGAGCCTGCCGAAACAGCAGGAACATGAAGCGACGATGCTGCCAGGGTGCCAGAGAAACGGACTCGAAGGGCCTCTGCCCGAGCTCGTCGAGCGCCAGTGCACGTGGCAGCCGAAACCGCGCCAGGGGTCCCGGCACGTTGTCACCTGGACAGATTGGAAAGAAGAGCGTAGTGAATCAGGGAACGTGGGCTTAAGATCCACACCGAGAGTGCCATAGAAGCCCAGCTGCCCAGCCAGCACAGGCACCTGACAGCATCAACCGCGTCTTTTCTGCCCCTCAGCACCCATTGCCGTCGGCACCCTGTAGGCCTGGAAATGCCAGGGGCCAAGGTGGCTGCAGTTGGCGCTGTCCACGAACTCGTAGAGACCTAGACAGACTGGGTCTTTTCCAGTAAGAGTAAATCAAAGGTGCCGGGTACCCGGCTGTCAACATCAACCGCCTCGTTGAGAGCGAAGAGTGGCAAAAGCAGCGCCCTTGCTCTCATCAGCTGCGTTTGTACGACGGTATGGCTTCGGCAAGTATCATTTGCTATGACGGTCGGGTGGCGGTACATTGCTTGCACGGGCACCCTCAGCATTCTCAGTGTGTCCTACTCGACTCAGCTTGAGCCATAACAGGCCAAAAGTCGAGCTGCTACAGAGTCTCGCGCCTTTCTGTCGACTCCTCTACCGCAAAATCCGGGAATCACCATGGAGTGGCTAAGGTAGGAATCAAGTTACATCTGCTGCTACTGTCATTCCCTAGGTGTTGATCCAAGACTCCAGCTCTTCAAGCACTGATACATTCCTCGACTTCGGGGCTCCACCTGGGGCAACAGAAAGAGCACGAGAAGTCTGAAAAACAAGACATGGAACTGGTGTTTGTGCACAGGTGCGCGTAGGGACTCTTGGAAAGGGCATCCCAAGCAGATGGAATATGCAAGCTGCCGAAATGCAGCATTGCCTTGTGCCACGAAGGTGTCGCCCAGCAACATCTGCGCACGGGAGTGCACCTTAGGAGTTTCGAGCCGAATCTTGCTGAACCCTTCTTGACGTCAGGTCACAAATCATGTGTTGAGCACATCGGTCACCCTCCAGGCGATGCCACAGTACATTCGGAAGATGCCGTGGACAAAGTCACCCACTAGCACCACTTTGCCGAACTCGCTTGTTCGACCGCCGCCCCTTAAAGGCACCGAGGGACTGTGGCCAGGGCTGGAAGTCTTCGAAAGCAGGCAGCGACTAACGGGGCATCGAAGATGTTGGGGCCACCGTAAGAAGGCCTGCTGAGTCTCATTGCATGTCAGGAAGCGGGAACAAACCTTCGGTTCAATACCATCCGGGCACTCGAGATGAACTGGAACCCCAACTCTCGTCGCCTTTGGTCGGCAGATCGTTCTCCCTGCGCACCTGCAGAACAATGACAACCACGCATGCTCAAACCCCAAGCAGGGAAGTGTTTCGAGATCGCTTCGACTTCTCCTCGCTGCAAGCATGAAATCAGAATCTGGCTGGGACTGCACAAGCTCACCCTTGCTCCCGCCAGTGCCATCGATTTTGTAGCCAAGAAGAGTCAAAGTGGCAGAGCTTGGCCGCTGCCATGTCTGAGGACTTCGGCAGTGTGCATGTGGCACGGTCACTTCAGGCTTCAGGGGCATGTCGCGATTGACATCGATCGATGGCTTAGCCTTTTGAGCCAATGCATTGCCACCCGGTGGCGGCTGTACATGCCACCGAGGCTTTAGTGAACTATAGGCTAGAGACTATAGAAATGAGAGGAGCGAAAAATCCTCGGAAGCCAGAACAGCTCAATGTTCACTCGCATCCTTCCAACTCCTCTTAGCACCACCAAACCATTCCTTGGCATTGGGCTCTCAAGGCACACGTCCTCCTCTCATGCGTCCCATTCCGGGACAGTCGAAGGTTGGTGACACCACCGAGAAAATTCTCAGTTCACAGCTCTTTGCAAAAATCTGGATCTCACTACACCGCACCGCGGTGACTTCATGCTCCTGTCTACTTGCTCGTCTGGAGTACTGCCTTCGCTGAAACCAGCTTTGTTCTACGTAGGCCGCACTTTTGGCTGCGTCAGCGCGTTACAGCACGATCGGCACGAAAGCTGCGCAGTGTTTTTCCGATTCGCCTTGGATGCAATGTTTTGCCGAAGCATGTCGAGGGACAGAAATCTAGCAAGCTGGAGCAATACAAAAATCGGTTTCCGAGAAACCAAAGTGCCCTTGACCACGGACTCTTAAGTCGCATCGGGCACCCCAAGAGAGAAAAGCCATGTTTTAACCTGTACGCCGCGGTTAACTTGATGGGGGCCCCTGGGCCACGCGCTTGGAGCGTGTCATTGGCGACTCCGGGGGAGGCTGCCACGCCTCTCCACAGAGAGTGAAAAAGGCGCGAACTTTGGAGAGAGACGGAGACTGTTACATCAGACTACTTCGCAGCACCATTGTAATACTAGTAGTACTGGTATGTCTGTCTGGGTTCGCCCTTACTCCCCGTCTGACGGATTCCCCACCCTAGCCTCCCCGTCTACCGGGGCTTCCACATGTGGCGCTCGCCCCCTTCGACCCCAACCTCACATCGGATATCACACTCTCGCCTTTCCTGGCCGGTTTCCCGGTCACCTCCTTGTCGCCCTGTCCCTCTCCTGACCTTTCCTTGTAGTCGTCAGGTTCCGGTCTGCGGTGGTTCCTGCTAGCTTCTCCGAGCTGGCCACTGGGCACCTGCACAAACACAACACGCACCCCTGCCGAGAGAAGAAGCAGGAGCCCACAACATCGAGATCCGAAAAAAATGATTGACTCTGTTCCCAAAGTGCCTGTACTTTCCTCGTCGGATCCCAATGGCTCCTCAGCACAGGAGGTGTAGTCAGTATAGTCTAAGTGAAGTGGTTCGACGAACGAGACCCTGGCCTCCCAGGACTCGAACCACCTAGCAACTCTCCCTGAACAAAAATGATGCAGAGACTTTAAGAAAAATTCGAAGAGAAAGCACAACCGATTCGGGCCGATGAGGGAGGCCCACCCTAAGCCCCCGGCTTAGCGCAGCGGTCCAGCTCTGACTCATACCACACCTCGGAGCAGTTCCCGCACCTGCTTCAATGATGTGTCCAACCTGATAAAATCGGTGGTTGACTTGTATAGACAACACTCGCTTTACTAGTAGAGTCAAGCTGCCAGGCATCCTAAATCGATCACAAACCGTACAATGAGTATTCTAATTACAGCTGGTATCACGTAATGCAGCTTGGTTCTCTAGTTCATGAAGCTCTAGGCCCTGAGCAGCAATCTCCTGCAAAAGATGCACACAAACGTTCGACCGAGAAGTTGCATCTCAGACAGAAACCCCAAGCCAAGGAACGTAGTTCACCCTGCTTGGCCCGTCTTCACCTGACACTGGACTGCCGGAACACACATACTGGTTAACGCGCGCCCACCTGTCTACGACAATGAATTCTGTCACAGCCCTGCTATCAGCCCAAAAACCACGGTTTGAGGCCCCTGGGATACAGACCCAGTCGGTAATGCACGGCTCGCAGATCTGCCTTGGCCTAGGCCAAATCACTTAACATGAAGGCTGCCATAAGGGGAAACTGTTAGGGCTGTTAGGGCTAGTCCATGGGGATTTTTGCTTTGCGTGCCCCCAAAAGTCTTCCAGAAAAACTCGGGAGCCGTAAGCTGCATTCCTGAAGCACTGGCGGCACAAGGGGCCAGTAGGTTTCACTCACGGTAGACTCCATGGGGACATGATAACAGGATTACAAAGGGGACTGCTAAAGTGCACGGTGCTTTCAGGGTTTAGTCTTTCGCCATTGACCGATCAGTCCCATGAGTCCTCGACCGCAGGGTCCATGGCGCCTTGGGAAGCGCCTCACCAGTTCAAATCCCACAAGGGTTTTCCAGCAACTCAGCTTACCCAGCAGAGATTCTTGGAGGACCTCTTCCAGTGAGATCACCCAACGAAGCCCTGCCAGACCAGCCTTGCTCGGCTTGGGTGAAAGGCCGGAAATCAATTCCTCAGCGGCTAGGCTAGCATGGACCAACAATATGTAACTCCGACAAAACCTCCCAGCTCAGACTACAGCGGCTACAGACTCTGAGCTTCCAAAACAAACCTGTCTTACCAGGTCCGAGTCCCCGGCTGCTCGTTGAGTTGAAGTTCGGCTTTGCGAAACCGAGCTTGATCTGACAAAATCCACACGACCCCGACCAAATAATACATTCCCACGCTCAGCGCTGGCCCCATCACGTGAGAAGAGATACTCCGTGGACAATCTCAAGGATTGAGCAAGCTGCTGAAGATCGCCGCAAGGCTTTGACCATGGGCTCCTTCTCTGCAACATCCTCCGATGCGACACGAGGCATAGGCAGCTTGCGGAGGACATGGGCGTGGGATTCGTGTGGAAAGCTCCAGGTGCGGCCGAGGATCTAGCACCGCCCAGGACTCCGTGAGACCTGGACCGCTGCAAAGCAAGTCGTCCATCGGCCCAATCCGAAGCATAACCGAAACAACCACGAAGTGCCGTGCAGTGACTGCGACTATATCTTCTTAAGGCTGTGACCGGGCATCTTCGAGAACGAAGACCTCAACACGCAGGGCGAAGGGGGATCTCTAGGGCTCATCTCATGGCTTCCCTCTCCGTAGCTGGGCACATGGTGGAAGCATGCAGAACAGCCGACAGCCCGAATCAGCAAACGCGTGGCTGGCTCTGGGTCACGTTGTAGTCACGGAGCCGGGTATCCGAATAGCCTTAGAGCTCAGAAATAGCGCATTCCTGTTTACAGCTCGTGATGCTAAGGAGCAGGCTTCGCAAGCTGAAGGCCTTGCCGATATCCATAGACGTCGTCCCTGCCACAAAGCAAAGGCAACGCACGCTGCACAGAATGGTGCTGAGTGGCTGAGTCCCAAGCTCATGGATCTCGCCGAGGGGAGCCGCCGAGGCGGAAGAGTTGGAGAGTAGGAGGAAACGAGAAGTTAGGAGCTATGTCCATTCTGTCTTCATGCGCTTCTTGATGTCTGTGAACACTTGAGAAGCTTACTTTCTCAAAGAGGGGTTGGCTGATGTTCTTTCCGCTATGTCCGTGCCATCGTCCATGCTTTCAACTGATACAGCAAAGCCCAAGGTGGCAGCAAAGCCAAAGGTGACAAGGAGCCCATGGTTGCTGCATCATGCATGGTCCCTACAAGCAGGCTGGGGCAACATCCCGAATGCGATCAGCGGGAGGTACATGGAGGTACCATCTCTTCTCATCCGTTTTCATGTGGATGGAAAACCTTGGCAGAGCAGCAGAGCCGAATCCACAATCCATATTCCTGTCATTTCTCGAAGCACTCTTGCCTCATCCGTGCGCACACAGTAATCATTAATGACGTGGAAGGATATGGGCCATTCCGGCGACGAGGTGGCTATGACAGTACTCGTGGTTGTTACTGGTGGCTTGACCGTGTGACTCACACACCATTTGCCGTGTCAGTGACGACTTACAGAGAAATCAACATGCGAAACACATGCCAAGCAGCGGCTCGATGTCGTAATGGCACTGTGCCTGCGAGAAACCGAGCTTTGTGTAAGAAACGTGCACCGCACTGGCAGTTACAAGCATCTGTCAGCCAATGTCAGCCAGCGAACCCGCGGAGCTACTACATGCAACTTTGAAATTCTTTTGCACATACGAGTCAGACGAGAGTTTCAGAAAAAAATTCTGGACAACAGCATAGAAATCTAGATAGTACCTGAAAGGAACCGCCAAGCTTCTGAAAACCCACATGACAATATGATGATATAACAACATGTACCAAAGCATAACTACTCGGAACCCTAAATCATTGCATCACACTCGGGGTTTTAAGCTTGTGAAACTCGCAAGCTGTCAGGAAGAGTAACCTCCCGCCTCTCACGCCTCCCCACGTCAACCGTCAAAGACTGCCAAGGAAAAAAAGCAACCTCAACAAATGTCAACCTCTGCAGCATGGCTGGCAAATTAGGTATCTTCTTGCTTGGAGGTAGCTTCACTTGTGTCGTCTGCTGATCAGCTCTCGCTTCTTGATACAGCTTGTGAAACTGCCCAGCGTATCAGCAAAGTGGTCGTGTCCATCTTTCCAATGAGCTCAGCCCTGCACTCTGTCGCGACCTGCGTTGAGCAGCGTTAGCCTGAAAACACGAGGCGGAACAAGAGAGACAGGCCGTCCAAACTGATGAATCCCAGTCTTGCAGAAATCTAAGACGATATTTAGACCGGAAGTGCTTGCAGTAAGTCTGGACCTCGACCACCCGACCCATCTTGTGCTTTAATTTCAACCAAAGCTACAGGGAGTCGAGCGTGAGCTTGTCGGGGGTTCTAGTTCGACTGATCGGTCGCGGTTTGGTTTCATTTAACCCGACTCAGCATCTTTTTCTCGCACCGCATGCTGCCTTCGTCTTTAGCTTTCCGTGTTGCCACGGATGTAGCTTCTGCACCGTGAAGATCGCCGATTCCGTTGATCGACGGAGCAACGGCACCGAGCGTAGCACTGCGAGTCTGAAGATTTCTCTGGGAGGTGGCAACGAACAGAGCAAGACCTTGAACAAAAGTGGCACATTGTCACAAGATGGGAACCTCCCAAGACCGACAATCAAGCTCGAGCGCCCATTTGAAAGTCCTTCCAGCGGGCCCAGAGCAACATTTACGAAAACATACGAATCCAAGCTGGCCCCTGTAAATATTTGCGTGACGCTTTGGGCCCACCGGATTCGAGCTCTGGCAGAAACTGGGGCCTTAGCCGCCTTAGCCTTGTGTACACCTTGGGGTCTTAGGGGCTGTTGGAGAGCCGTTAGAGCCGGACAAAACTACGGTGGAAGGACGAGAAACCAAAGCCACGTAGATATGACTGAGCCCCAGCTGCACAGCTCGGAACTTCTGTGCCAGAACCTCGCTTTCGAAGCCTGGATAAGTGCAGGAGCAGTGACTTTGGGGGGTGACCGCGGCACCACGGTGTCGAACATGGATTTTATGGAACAAAGCATGGATGTGGGCTTCGGGACAGAATATCTTCGAAAAGACACATCAGCTCCTGTGATGCACAAATGCCAAACATCCACAGAACTGGAGTGCTATCTCACCACTGGGACAAAGCCGTTTTTGGGCTCAGGCGCCCGAAAGCCACTAGCGGTAGCGAATGTGTCGAACTGACTCCCTTCCATACCTTCTCCGCTGCCCAAAAACGTTTGTCCCATATTCTGCGCATCAGGCTGTGGACAGCCTTTTCAAATCAGCTCGGTGCGGGCTCTTCACCCCGGTAAACAACCCCAAACCCAGCATCCGTCCATGGCGGAGCCCATCATGTAGGCTCCAGGGATTGACAAACTACGGCCAAGCCTTTGCTGGCTCAGGTCGCAACAAAGTAAAAGGAAAATCGCAGACCCAATGAGAACGTGCAACGACATCAAGCATCACACACAGCGCTTCAGGGACAAGCTTTTGCAAATAATAATATCGGCAAGGATGGCAGGTTTGGGTGTACGAGCATGTGGACGCATGGCCAATGCTTGCCTGCCGCGCATTGCATGCAACAACAAACTTTGTTCCCCAGTGAGCCTTAACTTTGGAGCTCCTTCTGAGTCGGAACAAACGGTCTCCACGAGCCGGATGGAGATCCCTAGTCTACGAGCCCTGGCTTGCGCCCTGCGCGCCACGCGCACTGCGCGCTAGGCCTCCTCGAGTCCCGGCGCCGAGAAACCCTGGAAATGCGGTCGCGCCGGCCACGTTGAGGCCTTCCTTCTTCCCAGCAGGCCACAAAACCCAGAAACCCACCCCTAACTCGGCACTCCTCTGCCCACTGTGAGATCTGGCTGTCTCGTCCCAGAATTGTGAGAAACCATGAGGTCTGCTGCGAAGATGTGAAACGTGCTGGCAAGGGACACCTGTTTTACAGAGTCTCCAGCAAAACGAAGCCACAGGACAAACCCTGCGAAAAAAGCACTGGCCTGCCCCTTGATCTAAGGAATGCCTAACTCTGACTTCCTATGCACTCCCCTGGAGAAGCGGAGGATCTCGCAACCGACAACATGAGTCCTTTCCTTGCCCGAGATTCAGCATGCTGTGCACATACGGATGAAGTGGCTCCTTACAGACCTCCACCCATCTCCAGGAGTGTGCTATGTTCGGCGATACGTTTCAGGCAGTGGACGATCTGGTTGAGCGTGTACTGGGTGTCGCGTCTGGCGAAGTTCATGCAGATAGGACAACAAGCGCCAGCAGTGCAGCATCCCTGAGTGAAAATGCTCCCGACCTCGGCCAAACTGCATCTTGGGCGTCTTCTTTGTGGCGCCTGCAGAGACACCCTCACAGATGCTTGTCACCATGCTCCTTCATGCAGCCGTCAGGCGTGCCTTTGCTGGAAAACTGGCAGATGTGACAGCGGGCGCAGTTGACGCCATCTTTGCAGCCACGCGCCTGGGCATGAGATCCCGCAAAGGGCTGAATGCAAGCTCGAGGCTCGAGATCTGCTCGATTCATGGACGGAGCTAACTACATTCTCTCTGCCGACATACCTATGACCATTTTAAAACTCAATATCCTGGATGGCCCAGACGAAACTTCGAAGTCCTGCCTTGCGGACATACTTGCAAGCAGCAGCACATCGGCCCTGGTTTTGGGTCAGGCGAGTCCGCTTCAGCTTTCATGGAATACGGCTTCGTCATGACTGTCACCAGTTTACAAAACCCCTCTGTCACACAAAACGAAACAGGCTCTCAGCTGCAGTAGCCCTCATGACTTTTCGGCGACGGTCAGTGCAGTGTCAAGCCTGATAGTGGCCTCGGCTGCCCACTGACGGTTCTGGGAAATAATCCGGTGGCGGTGGCACCGTGCTTGGAACCTTGCACGCTGCTCGCACAGCAGATTCACAGAACAGGTCTGGTTCTTTTGCTAAATCCAAGACCCGTCTCTGAGGGCTTGGGCTAAGGCCTGCATGAGGAACACGGAGTAGGGCGGAGGCGACGGTGGTGGCACTCCTCAGCTCGAAACATTTCGGCCTGTCTTAAGGTGGCCCGTGGTCTCCAAGCGGCTCCGCGATCGCGGATCCGTTGCCAGAGGGGGTGGCTGGACTGAGACTGTCCAATCCTGAGCTCAGAAAAATAGTCTTGATCTCTCTGATGCCTCCCTGAAATGAGTGCAACTCACATAGACAAAAGAACCTTTGGTTGTAACATTTATTTTGCTTACATAATTCCTTAGCTGCAAACATTTGGGGAGCTTCAAACAGCCTCATCATTCGACGAAATCGCCAAACACCTTGCTTACTTGTAACCTGTCTTTGTTTGGTTCTTTCGGCCTACCACCCAATTTTCTTCTTGTGGCGATGCTAGTTTGCATTGCCATTACGACGTTTCAAGGTCTAAGGATTCCCACCATCTGCTGTTGGGGGGTCGGAATTGGTTTTCGTTCGGGACGGCTTCCGTTTCCTACCGGGTTAAGAAGTTAAAAGAAAAGGAGCAGCATTACAAAGCGAGCAGTTCGGTTAAGGCTTCCGTTTCCTACCGGGTTAAGAGAAACCGCAGAGGACCTAAACAGCAGCAGCAGTCACGCTTCCTTTTTTTTGTCCGTTGGCGAAAACCGTCCAGTGAGTAGCCGGATGAAAACCGGCTGTTACGGACAGACCGGCAACCTACGACCGGTCGGTGAAAGTTGGTGGACCGGAAATCCAACCGGAAGTCCAACAACAGTAACTCCCCAGGAAGAACAAAGGGTGAAGACAGGCAGTAGCAGACTTGATTCGGAGTCCGAAGCAAGTCGGGTACGGCCGGAAATCACGGAAAAGCCTTTACCGGTACTGAGCGGCGTGCCGGCGAGACTGTTGAGACTCAAGAGCCTCGCCGGCACGCCGGACAGGAACGAGTGGCGTACCAGAACCGGAAAAGAAAGGCGGAAGCCGGGGTGGTGGCGGGAAAAAAGCTTTAACCCGATACGGAAACCAGCCGTCCTGAGCCAAGGCTGCAGGGCCGGTAGATGTTCCGTTGCGTCCCTACCAAACACATACGATCATGCTCGTGATCGTTCGGTTAAGGCTCCGTTTCCTACCGGGTTAAGAGAAACCGCAGAGGACCTAAACAGCAGC